ACACACTTGTTTAATTTATACAGAGTTTGCATTAACTAGGCTCAGAATGCCTGCAAGCAGCTTTTCTGCCAGAACTGTAACACCTGCCTTGGCATAAGGCAACCTAGGCAGTTGCTTGCAGCTAAGGACCTTTGAAAACTTTTTTCTCTACCCCAAAGAAATACATTTTTTTAAAAGATTTATTTATTTGTTTATTTTTTTAAAGTGAAATATACAGAGAGGAGGAGTGAGAGAGAGAGAGAGAGAGAGAGAATGAGAGAAAGATCTTGCTTCCAGTGATTCACTCCCCAGGTGGCTGCATTGACCAAAGCTGAGCCAATCCAAAGCCAGGAGCCTGGAACCTCTTCTGGGTCTCCCACCCGGGTGCAGGTTGGGTCCCAAAGCTTTGAGTGATCTTCGACTGCCCTCCCAGGCCACAAGCAGGGAGTTGGAAAGTGGAGACACCAGGATTAGAACTAGCATGCCCGTTTGAGATGCTGGCACCTGAAAGATGAGGACTTTAGCCACTAGGCTACCGCACCTGTCTCTACAGTAATACTTTTATTCTGAAAGTTTTGCTTTCATATTTAGATTTTTAACCTATTTAGATTTTGTTTTCATATCTAGTGTGACATAAGGATTCAGTTTTATATTTTCAAAATAGCAATTGATTGTCATGGACTACTCATTGAATAGCTCATCATTTTTCTCTACTTATTTCTAATGTCACATCTGTCAAATAATAAGATAACTATATGATTTATTCAGTTGCTAGGATTTCTACTTTTTTTTTTTTTTTTTTTTTTTTTTTTTTGCCTATCCTCCAAAATTACATGATTTAGAATAGCTTCTGTGCAGGTCTTGTTATCTGGGAGAGTTAATTTCTCATTTCTCCATAAGTTTATTCCTCTTAAATAGTCAGAATTATTTTAAAATTTTTTCCTGCATTATTTTAGGCTCTTTCTCCATCTAGCTTTAGGAGCCAGTTCTTCCACTTCTGCAAAAAACTTTGTTAGTTTTGTGTTACTAAATTGTTTTTTCTCTTTTTGGGATAAACCCACTTGTTCATTATGTAGATTTAATATATTTCTCTATTATTTTTGATAACGTCTCTAGAGTTTCTACTTTTGTTTTTATAAGTAACAATAGCTTATAATTTTCTTACATTTTTTTAGTGTGGTTAAACACTGTCAGATAGGCTGAAGAGAATATCTTCATTTCCTATGTTTTAGAATATTATCTCTTCTTTGTAGTTCTGGTGGAACTCACTTGTAAAAGTCTTGGACAAGTTGGTTTTAGTTCTTTTCTGTTGACTTATTCTTTGTGGTAAAATGTGTTTGACTTAATTTCTGTATTGAATATAGGTCTTTTATATCAATCTTGCTGATTATTTTTATAGAGCATTTTCTATTCCATCTGTTATTTAAAATTTAGAGACATAAATTTTTAGTATTCTCAAGATTTTCAGTAATGTTTACTGTATTTGTATGCCCCCTTTTCATTTCTGATATTGTTTATTTCTTCCCATTGGCTGGGTGAACTGTTCCAGAGAGCTTTCTTATTTTATTTATCTCTTCAGAGAGGCTCTTGGTTTTATTTTTGATGATTATAACCTCAGCTATATTATTTGTCATTTATTTTCATTTTCTTCCTTCTTTGAATTTCTCATTGGTTCTTTTCTAACTTCTTGAGTTGGATACTTAATATGTTACCTTTTAGTCTTTTCTAATGGAAGAAAAGCATGTATTTCCATTGTAATTTCTTCTTCATCTCATGAAATATTACAAATATGTTTTAAGATTCTTGGCTTAGTGAGTTTTTGAGGAGGTGTGATTTTATTGTTGATTTCCAGTGTTACTACATTGTAATAAAAAAAAAAAATAAGGTCTATTGTGTGAATTCTTAAATGTTTGTTGGAATGTGCTCTGTGGCCTAGCTGTACTTTGATCCTTTTATGGTAAAAGTCTTGTATGTATTAGAAATGATTCAGTATGTTTTCCCTATTTGTTGGGTGCAGTTTCTCTGTATATCCATTAGGACAGACTTAGTGTGGTATTCATGTCTTTTGTATTCTTCTAATTTCTGCCTTCTTTAGCTATTACCAGTAAAAATATGTTAAAATCCCTGCTATGAATATGGATTTGTTGACTTATAATTTTTTTTTTCTAAATTTTTGGGCTATTTCATTAAGAGCATTCAGGTTCAGGGTTCTTATACCTGTTTATCCTTGATTTTTTTTTTTTTTTTTTTTTTTTTTTTGGTGTAAGATCTATTTTTTCCAATGATAATATGGCTGTGCCAGATTTCTCTTGGTTACTTGTTTTCTTGGTGTATCTTTTTCCATCCTTTTACTTTCATCTTTTCTGTCATTATGTTTTAGGTCTGTCTCTTGTAAACAGCATATAGCTGGATTTTATTAACTTATCCCATGTGAGAATCTGTCTTTTAACTGGTGAGTTTAGTCTTTTTCTATTTATTGTGGTTACTGCTATATTTATACCTGTTTGCATTGTTTAATTATGTGCAATTTAATATGGGTTTTTTTTTATCTGCCGCTTTTTCTCTTCAGTTCTAATTAGTATTATTTTATTCTTTTTTCCTTTTACTTGGTTGGAAGTTTGACATTGTGTTTCTGGAATATATAACTAGTGATTACCTGAAAAGTGATAACAAGGACCCCAGACTTGACAAAATCTGAAATTAACAAATCTATTTTCTTCTTGAATAACATCTTGAAATACTTTAGTTCATTGCACTTCGATGTTTTATATTATCGTTGCTCTGTGTCTTAATTTCACATTGTTTTTTCTTCCCATTGATTATTGATGCTTTTAGTAAACATTTCTTCTTTATTTACAAGTATTAAGTAATTTTTTCCTCATTGCTTCTGACATAATTTTTTTTCTCTGGTAATTTTTTCAGTCAACACTAGGGAGTAGAAAACTTCTTCAGTCCTTTTGTTTGAAATGGTTTGATAATATTCCCAAATGGTTCTTTCTCCTACAATTCTGCACCATATTAAGCTTATTCTGCCTTAGCCATTTAGGCAGCATTATTTCATTTTGGTTTGGCCTCTTGTACTGTTGTGTTTATTGACAGTGTGCTGTCAGCCTAATTGTATCGAGTAATCAGTTGTTATTGTTTGTTTTGTTTGCTTTGAAATTGTGTCTGCATTTGGATGTTCTTCATTTTCTCTGTGATGTATCTAAGTAGAAAAAAGCTTGCTTCTCACTGGGCTGGTAGATGTGATTTCTCTTGTTCCCCTTTGACTAGAATTACTGCCTTCTAGAGGTCTTGGTTCTAATATCTTAAGGCCTTTTCTGGTTCCGCAGCAACGATAACCCAAGTACCTTTCCCAATCTTGTCTAATATCCACTCCAGAGCTGCCACCATACAGATTCTCTGCTCTCCATTTGCTTACATTACTTCAAGATCTTTAATTCTTTCTTATGAGCTCAGCCATGCTTTAAAAAACAAATCTATTGTGTTCTATCTAGCATTTTTAAGGTGCTAGTTGGAAAATTTTTCTCCTAGCCTTTTCTACCGTTTTTCTAGAACTGAACGTTTGGTCAGTTCTTTCATTGGTTTATTACCACATACTAATTAGAATTAGAGCGTGGTGTTGAATGGCGTTCATACGGTAATCCCTCTTTGTTGAGGCAAGATTCTTTGGGATCCAACTGCAGATTCCAGATCCCTCACTTTTTATTCAGGTTTCACTCCAAGTTTCTCTTTAAGTTTCAAGCCTAGTTGCCCCTGGTAGTGTATTTAATGGGGAAGTGGGTAGATGTGCCCTGGATTTGTTGGTAGAGAATTCTAGAAAGAAAAAAAACTGCTAGAAATTGTCTTTGTGATATGCCTTTTCTGCCAGAGATAAGATATGTTAAGATACAGTATCCCTCTGTATCCATAGGAGTTTGTTTCCAGGCCCCATCTCTCCCCTAGCAGCTCCCCCTGGCAGATAAGCAGTTCTTCTGATGTGCAGATCCCTTGTATAAAACGGTCTAGTACTTGCATGTTAGATACATATCCTCATGTAAACTTTAAGTAATCTCTAAATTACCTATGAAACCTACTACAGTGTAAGTGTTACGGAAATATCTACACCATATTGTATAGGGAATAATTACCAGGAAAAGGTGTATATGTTCAGTACAGATGCAGGATTTTTTAATGAATATTTTTCAAGCCACTGTTGTTAAACTGTTCTTGTGGATACAGAGGACTGACTTCAGGAAGGAAAATTGAAAATATTGTTTAAGAATTACAGTGACTGCATTTAAAGTATAATTGAAGTCTTTCTAATTCTGTCCTGGATCTTTTGGTTAGGCCATAGATTTACTAAGAAATGTTTAATTTCCTCTCTATATACTCACCTTCTGCAGCGCCCGACGTTGTTCTCACATTCTCAGCACAGGTGAATTGTGCTGCTTTCTGTTGTTCCTTCTGCAGCCTTCATCACGCCCGTTTTTTGATGATAACAGGGATCCTAACTGTGATAAAACTAAGTTTAGATATTTCACTCAAGACAAAGGCCTTCTACCTCTGGTTTTTTGTTTGTTTTTTCATGTTGGCTAGCTCTGTATCACCTCTGCTGTGCTTTCTCTTTTTGTTACTTCCTGGCATGTTTTAGGCCATTGTTCCTTTAAGATTCGTCTGAAAAGGACTTCCTTGATTTATATTACCTGTCTTTTTTCTTTCTCTTGTCATATTGTATCATTGTCCCATTTATGTTGCTGGTTTTGTTCTTTAATGCTTTCATAAAGTATTTTTCCTGTATTATCTTGTGTATTGTAATATTGCCTCATGAAGCACTGGAACTGTTAAACTCCTGGACTATACCTCACTTGTTAGAAATCTGGTACTGCCAAAATAGAACAATGAAGTAGGAAATAAATTTTTTTTCCCTTTCTTTGAGTTGTTTAAAGCCTAGGTAGATAAAATGTAAGGTATTGCTGATTCCAGTTGACTCTGGAGCTGGAGAAATGTTTCTGAGTGTATCTTTTGTTGTATAATTATAGAAGCAGAGAAGATTGCACAGGTGGCAAAAATTCGCTTTCAGCAGAAGGTGATGGAGAAAGAAACTGAAAAGCGCATTTCCGAAATTGAAGGTACATTAGGGACGGGATGTTACTTTGACTTTCTGGAACTGCCTCTCTGCTCACAGGTTGGATTCTTGCTTGTAGATGGAATAATCACATCTAGAGGAAGCAGTTGACATAATATGGACAAATTTTTTCCAAGATTTTAAACTTAAATTTGGGCCTTTGGGCTGCCTCTTTATTCTTAAGTAGGCAAAATATGAGAATTATATTGAGCTGCTTCCTTGCTTTCTGTGTTAATAGGGCCCAGGTTAAGTTTGGAAGCCATATGGACAGTACATTAAGTAGACTAGAACTTTCATGTCTGATCCTATTTTGCTTGAATCCTGGAGTCCTGGTGAAGTGTGAGGCCTCAGGTGCTGGGAAGGGTGGAAGAGGAAGGAGCAACTCAAGAGTAGGGAACATGTAGTCCCAGACCAGCCATGAGTCACTCAACAATGATAAGAATATTCCTGTTTGAGAAAGAGCTGGCTAGGGACTGGGATTTGAAAAATACTAGTGTTCCTGTAAACTATTAAAGTGAAGTAAACAGTCGGAATATTAGGCAGTAGAGACCGCAGAGGGAATGGGTCGGTAACTTTCCTTTGTGTTAAATACCGTGACTGTTTTATTTGCCAGATGCTGCATTCCTTGCTCGAGAGAAGGCAAAAGCTGATGCTGAGTATTATGCTGCACACAAATACGCCACCTCAAACAAGGTGACTGGCTTTCTATGCCACTTTCCTTCTGGTACAGTTTGGGGTGTTTCTTCTTCCTTTCAGGAATTCTTGTGTGATAGAGGTGGTTTTATCCATTGTCAAACGAGGGCAGTGACCAGTACAACCTGCTGTTGAATACCATACAGTCACTGGATTGGGGGCAACTTTGCTCCTGGTTCCTCATGAAAGTGAGGGATTTGGACAAAGGCAGACACGTGTGAATGCACACACACAGGTCAAATGCCATAAACTCATTCGTTCGTGCTGCTGTACAAGGGCTTAGTAATCAGTGAAGTTGAAGGTCTTCTCCTGAAATGACAAGAATGGCAGGAAAATAGTTAAGTTCTTTTAGAATTGCTGTCCAGATAAGGTAGCTTTTTTTCATAGAAGTTAAGCCTGTAGAACACTGTGAGGATGGGCTGTTTTTTTCATCATTGAAAACTGTCTCATGTGTTGGGACATTTTATGTCATTGGCCCTTGCCGCCTAACTTTCACTAGTGCTTACTTCCAGTTACTTTAACAGCCGTATTCATATGCATGCCTATTTCCAGATGTCCCCAATTGAGTGTTTCTTGGTTGTGGATTTTAAAAAAAATGGATTCACAGATGACTGATTGTAAGGATATCATCCCAGGTCCTTTCTTTGAAGCTCTGCCACTCTGAATCCATTGATTTTTGTACCCTCAAGAACAGCAGAAATTGCAGGTTGAATTCAGCTAGCTGAAATGAGGAGTATACAAAAGTACTTTACACACCCTCAGTCACTGTAGAAATATTAGTATCAATAGTAATCATTCCCTAAATAACCTATTTCCCCAGGCCTTTTACTGTGAATAGCTTCTGCTTTGGGGCAATAGCTGGCTGAAAGACTTTAAATCAAAAACATGAACTGTTACTGTGATTGCCACACTCCAAAGAGGATGGGTCTTTGGCCATCATGCAGAGATGAGCTGTGAATCTCACTCAGGAGAGCAGTAAGAGAAATGGGTGTTGGGGAAGCGGGGGAGAGGAAGATAGGATTTTTGCACTGAAGTGTCCTGATGCCTGGCTCCTGTTTGCTTCACACAGCACAAACTGACCCCGGAATACCTGGAGCTCAAAAAGTATGAGGCCATCGCTTCTAACAGTAAGATCTACTTTGGAAGCAACATCCCTAGCATGTTTGTGGACTCCTCTTGTGCTTTGAAATACTCAGATGTTAGAACTGGAAGAGAAAGCTCCCTCCCCACGAAGGAGTCTCTTGAACCCTCTGGAGAGAGCTCCATCCAAAACAAGGAGAGCACAGGTTGATGCAAGAGGCAGAAATGTTCTCCCATATCAAGACGTGGCCCAAGGGATTAAGTGGGAACAATGGCAATGTGGACTCTTAAGATTTTGCAAAGAACTCGTGTTCCCTCTGTTCTGCTTCTCCTGTGATAGTCCTGGTTTGTCAGCTGATTACAGGAGAAAGCCAGTTGTCTGGCTCTCTCAAAGTCTTTTCAGCTACGATTTTATCACGTATCCTGTACGTGTTCCTTTTCAAACTGGTACTCATGAATAAGGGAAAGTCTGATGCTAAGATACTGCCTGCACTGGAATGTTAAACACTAAATATATAACAAGCTGTGTTTTTCTAAGCTGAGATCTATTGAATAATGTTTACATTGGTCTCCTGGGGAAGTGAGTGCTCAACCAGTCAAGATATGCACAGCCAGAGAGAAGATGGCCAGGATCTGGTAAGTTAGAGAAGACGGACTCTGCCTGGGACCCAAGCTCCAACTTTGGGATATGGTGCCAGCATTCACCCATGTGGTGATTACCCGGGCCACTCAAATTCCCCAGGAAATGATCTTCCACTTGAGCAATCATTTACTTGAGACGATTTTTACCTTCTTGTTTTTCTACATTGGTTTAGTGGCCTGCCAGGGACATGTGCTTTGCACCTAACCAGAGATTTTTAATTGCTAGTTTATTGCATTAGTAGGCTCAGAGATAAAGAGGGCTTGGCTTGAAGTTTGAGTGAGATGCAACCTTTGCTCTTAACCAAGGCTCCGAGACCCTTCTGTTCCCTCCACTGGGTGATGCCTGTCAGTGTGACTGTCCAGGTCACGTGTGATTAAGGGGTCCGATTTTTAACCACAGACAACTCCTTATATGTCACCTCGCAACTCTCGCCAAGACTGGGACAGGGCTTTAACCAGAAGTAGAAACAGTGTAAAAGTCTGGGCCACTTACTGCACAGTATTGTATCATTGCAGGAAGTTTTTATGTTTGAAACTGGATCTAGGGTGCATTCATTTGCTCCAGAACTTCTGTCAAAAGAGCAAATCGTCCAGCTACCATGGTTCCTAGCTCACTAAAGCTCACGTGGTCTGGAACAAGGAACAGTCTAGAAAGCATCTTTGAACATCTTTCTCTTTTCTCCTGACCCTGAGATGCTGAACTTTCATATTCTCTAGGAGACCAAGATTCCACTAATTTCCTGGGTAGCCATTGGATCTGATTTTCCGTGGGAGGATGACAGTTAACCTGTGGCTGTAGGAAAATGTACTTTGTCTGGACCTTTGTTTCCTTCCAATTAGCTTTCCTGGGACAGTGTGCTACGTAACGAGGGCTAAGCTTGTACCACTTGTTAAGACACCTCTTGTATTCTGTGTTGAAGCCAGATAAGAAAAGTCCTGGGACCACTTCCAGAAACCTCTTGGTTGTCAGTCCTGATGTTCTTATGACAGCCTAATGGGTTGTGCCAAACACTTTATTGGAAAAGGAAAGCCCAAATTTTTTAGTGGGTCTTTTCCTTAGGCCTTATACTATAGAGGCATTTGTACTAAGGAGAAAATCACTTTTGTTTTTACTCTTTAATTCTGTAAAGTCTCTATGAATGAATTTTGTGTTTTTAAACTCTCCTTAAAAGAACTTTTGCATTATAAGAAACTTAACCTGTCATTGTTACTGCAGATAAATACTGGTTGCTGTGGGAAATCTGGATCGTTGACCCCTGTGCTTTCATCGCAGAGATGTTTGCTATTCACATGAGCAAAAGTCAGTTGCCCCAATGTGATGGCTGTGAGTGCTGCTGGCAGCCAGAGTCCTTGAGGCAGGATCAAGAACAGAAAAATGATACTGAAAGGAAACACTTCCTGCTTAAACTCCCTGTGAGCTCTGCTTCCTGGGCCCCCCAGTGAACTCTTGAGTCTAGCCATCCCTCAGGGATGTTCATTTGGGCAAATATACACTGTAATCTTGGTCAAAATTTATATGTGAAATGCTACCTTTTTTTAAAATAAGAAACTAAATAAAATTATTTTACTATCAGTGATTTGTGTGTGTTTTTCCCTCATCTATCTAAATTCTTTTCTCATAACAGGCTTTCTTGCACATTTCAATCAGATACAGTGTATTTACTGAAAGGTTTTCCAGAGTGCTGGCTTCTTGCTCTGAGCCTCTGAATACCAAGGCTTCTACTGTTTTCCCGACTCCTAGAACTGAGCAAGGGATGTTCTGGTTTTTTGGAGACAGGGCCAGCAACAGGGAAGTGAAGAGGGAGAACAGCATCCTGCCTGTTGAAGTCTTAACTTCACCACCCCAGCTACAAGCTAAAATGCTTTTTGCACTGAAGAAGGGAGGGGCAGCTATGCTGGTGGAACAAGGACAGCTTCATGAATTGAAACTAGTTTTAGGGCCCAACACGGTAGCCTAATGGCTAAAGTCCTCACCTTACATGCCCTGGGATCCTATATGGGCACCGGTTCATGTCCCGGCTGCCGTACTTTCCATCCAGCTCCATGCTTGTGGCCTGAGAGGGCAGTTGAAGAAAGCCCAAAGCCACGTGACCCTGCACCCAGAAGAGGCTCCTGGCTCCTGGTTATGGATCAGCTCAACTCTGGCTATTGTGGTCACTTGGGGAGAGAATCGATGGATGAAAGATCTTTGTTTCTCCTCCTCCTCCTCTCTGTATATCTGACTTTCCAATAAAAAGAAAATTTTTTAAATATTTAAATACATTTTTAAAAAAAGAAACTGGCTATACTGTGGTATAACAGATGTTATTGGCAGTCCCAGAGCCAGGACTCTTCCCAAGCTCTCTACACGGCTTCCCAGGAGATTTCCTGATGAATGATGTACCAGCAGTTGAGACTTTTGGAGAAAGCAGCCCTTCACTCAGATTCCTCTGGGAACCAATTCTAGTGTATCTTGCAAAACAGGAAGCTTTCATTTTGACTATCCCAATGGTCTTTTGATAGCCAATAAGATGAAGTGACATCCTCCTGTTGCTGGCAAGAAGGAAATGTATAATTAGAAGTCGTGGCTTATCTTTCTAAGAATTATATTTTTGTTTGAAAAGCAGAATTGCAGAGGTGCGAGAGAGCTCCTGTCCACTGGTTCACTCCCCATGTGGCCACAACAGCTAGAGCTGAGCTGATCTAAACTGGGGATCAGGAGCTTCTCTATCTCCCATGTGGATATAAAGACCCAAGGACTTGAGCCATCTTCTGCTGCTTTTCCAGGCCATAAGCAGGAAGCTGAATCAAAAGTGGAGCAGCTGGGGCTCAGACCAGCAGCCATATAAGATGTCAGTGCTACAGGAAGATTAGCCTGTTAGGCCACCATGTCAACCCAAGGCCTTCTTGTTCCACAGTGTGCTTTACAAAGAAGTCCAAAGCATATGTACATAAGACCTTGCATGGTCTGGTCCCTGCTGACCTCCAGAGCCACTTGTCTCTCAGGTCTGTGAACATACCTCTGTGTGTGGTATTCCCTCTGCCTGATTCATTTTTCCTCCACTATAACACCAGCTTTCCTTTGCTAATTTCTTTTTTTTATTATTTATTTTTTTATATTTTATTATTTTATGATACAGTTTCATATTCCCTTATCCCCTCCCCAATTCCCTCCCCCACCACCTAGTTCCTCTATATCATTACTCACATATAGTTCTTCATACACAGGCCTATGTCCATCATTGCAGGCATGGACAATGGCAGAGAGTCCAGGATCCTATTGTCAAGATATAGTAAACAGTTTCATTGTAAGTCCATCTTTGTCTAGAAGCAGAAATGCATACTACACTGCATCTTCACATCTGGATGTTAGTCTCCATTTCACAGCTACTGTACATCCCCTTAAATGAAAAGTCATAATACAAAATCAACAATAGAAAGAAAAATAGAAATTTACAATGCCATGAAGTTAAATGACATGTTACTAGATATGACAGTGTCCATTACACAGCTACTATACATCCCTTTAAATGAAGAGCCACAAAACAAAATATTGGGGAGAAAAACGAAATTAACAACACCAAGAAGTTAAATAACATGCTATTAAATGATTAACGTGTAGCTGAAGAAATGAAAATCAAGAACCTTCTTGAAGAAAATGATGCTACCGTATGGATCTACAAGTCATTGAATGATTTAATCAGAAGAAAGTGTTTTGAAGAGATGAAACCAACAGAAAACAACAAAACCCATGCAATATAGTTTCTGCTGATCTTTGTTGGAGTGTGTCTCCTCCAGACAATAAGCAGATGGATTTTGTTTTTTAATCTAGTCTACTTATCTATGACATTTGATTGAGCTTAAGCCATTTACATTGAGTTTAATATGTATGGGTGGTACTTTGGTCCTGTCATTTTAGGAATAGGTTGTTCATTGGTTTATTCTGTTGTCATTTTACCGGGATGTTCTTCCCATTTGCCTTTGGTTTTGGTGGGTGCTATTCCTCTCCTCTGTCAAGAGAACATCTTGAAGTATCATTTGCAGGGCAGGTTTGAAAGAGGCAAATTCTTTTAACTTTTCTTTGCTGTGGAAGAATTTTATTTCATTTTCAAAGACAAAAGAAAGCTTTGCTGGATGTGTTATCCTGGGCCGACAATTTTTTTCTTTTAGAATCTGGAATATGCCACTCTGTTCTCTTCTTGCCTGTAGAGTTACCTGTGAGAGACCGCCTGTGAGCTTAATTGGCATTCCTTTATATGTCAATGGATGTTTTTCACATGCACATTTAAGGATCTTTTCCTTATGTTCAATTGAAGAGAGTTTGATAATCATGTGTCTTGGAGAAGATTGCTTTTGATCAAGCCTGTTAGGAGTTCTGTGCCCCTCCTGGACCTTGTTTCCCAATTCTTTCTCCAGATTAGGGAAATTTTCCTTGATTATTTCATTAAATACATTTGCAAACTCAGCTTCTCTTTCTGCGCTTTGTGGGACTCCCATAACTCTTATATTAGGCCTCTTAATAGTGTCTTTCAATTCTTGAGTACTTTTTTTGTCCTGATCGAGCTCTCCTTCCAGCTTTTTGTTGGCTTCCCCCTGATGATAGGAAATATCTTCCAATTCTGAGTTTCTTTCTTCTGCTTGCTTCATTCTATTTTGGAAACTCTCCACGGTACTTTTAATTTGCTCTACTGTGTTCTTAATTTGTGATATATCAGCCTTGATATGCTTAATTGCTTCCTTAAATTCCTTGAACTCTTTGCATGAGCTTCTCATTTTTTATCAGAAGCTTTAAAATAAGTCTTAATTATTCTGTGTCCCCCATTTTCTCAGTGTCTTCCTCAGTTAACTCTGAGGTTGGCATAGGGTTTTGCTCCTTTGCAGAGGATTTTTCAGTAATATTCATTGTGCCTTTGTCTCTTCTTTTGCTCTTGATCATTGTACTTCTGGTTAGCAGAGTCTTCTCCTTGGAGCAGGTTTCTAAGCTGTGTCACCCACAGGTCTACAATGCGATTTTACTTATTGCAGTTGGTATACAACTTTATGCTTGCAGCCACTTGTGCTACACCGTCAAGCGAGTTCCAGGTCTGGGTTCTTATGTCAGATTTCCACCATGGTCTCCACAGCCCCAGTTGCTGGCTCACCACTCTCCACCTCCTGTGATATTGTGCTGAGGCTGCACCGTTGTCTCTGCAACCTTTCTCCCACTTCTGGTTGGAGCAGGTCCCAGGATTAGAGAGACACCAGGTGTCCTATGTAATTAGGTTGTTGGTGGCGCTGATCTTGTCGGAACCTGTTGGACGCTAGTTCTGGGTGCCACACGGACCTGTTTTGACAAGTACAATGCCACAGTTGGTATTATTTTCCTGTGGGACCTCAGTGAAATCCACTGAACTTAGCAAGTTCTCATGAGCTCAGCACATGCGCAGTTCACTATTGTCCTCTGCATTCCTAAAGCTATTGCCACAGTGTACAAAATGGCACCTGACATGCTACCACTACAGTTCTTGATCTGCTTGGTCTGAGGGCTACCCAGACCTGTTGCTTTGGGTGGAACCTGTAGAATGCCATGTCATTGCAGTTCACTGAGCCAGAAATGAGTTCACTCCCAGCTCAGAGCATGCTCCGTCCTTCCCTTGCCTTTGCCTCCTTACGCAAAATGGTGCCCAATTCAGCTCTACGGGGCTGACTGGGCTGTGAAATCCACCCTGTTCTCGTGCTGCCTGTCTGGGATCTGCTGCTCTGTCTCTACTCCTGGTCGAATCAAACAGACCAGCAGGACTGACAGTTCTTTGTCTAGGTTCACCTCCCAAGCTCCCAGTGTAAGTCCCTTCCCACCTGGTTGCTGGAGGAATTCCGGCTGCTGGTGGATTTCAGATCGCCTGTTAGCTTAATGCTGCTGGAGTATCAGTCACTGCAAAACCACACCATTGTATCTGCTGCTTTCCTTTGTGTTTCAGTCTCTGGGTACCCCTCTGCTGTTGTTCTATCCTTTCCTATTTCCTGAAATATGTCCTCTCTGCTTCATCCTAATTAAATGTTTTTCTGTCCACTTAAACGTATCCTGGGCCCGGCAGCATGGCTTAGCAGCTAAAGTCCTCGCTTTGAACGCGCCAGGATCCCATATGGGTGCCAGTTCTAATCCCAGCAGCTCCACTTTCCATCCAGCTTCCTGCTTGTGGCCTGGGAAATCAGTTGAGAATGGCCCAGAGCCTTGGGACCCTGCACCTGTGTGGGAGACCCGGAAGAAGTTCCTTGATCCTGGCTTCGGATCGGCATAGCTTCAGCCGATGTGTTCACTTGGGGAGTGAATCATTGGATGGAAGATCTTCCTCTCTGTCTCTCCTCCTCTCTGTATATCTGACTTTCCAATAAATAAATAAATAAATCTTTAAAAAAAAAAAAAGAAGAAAAACTTGTCCTTACCCTATTTCACCATCTTGATTCTCCCTTTGCTAATTTTTAATGAGCCTCCAGGAAGGTTCCCCTGGCCTGCTTGCTTGTGTTAGCTTGCCATATCCCTGTCTGTGTGACACTTCATGCTTACTACCTGCCTCATCCTAAGCTTTTCAAGAGCAAGGACTTAATGCTGTACCC